TACTTGTGCATTCAGACACTTTGAATGTGTCTGCAGTTTGTAAACCCCCTGGTGTCTCCAAACAGGGACCTCCTGGACCTCCCGGACCCGCTGGACCCCCTGGACCTCCCGGCAGTGGATTAGACTTCGTCAGCCAGCCTATTCAGGAGAAGGCACCCGATCCCTTCCGCAGCGGACACTACCGCGCTGACGACCCCAACCTCATGCGCGATCGTGACATGGAGGTCGACACCACCCTCAAGACCCTGACCCAGAAGGTGGAGAAGATCCGCAGCCCCGACGGTACCCAGAAGAGCCCAGCCCGCATGTGCCGCGACCTGAAGATGTGCCACCCTGAGTGGAAGAGCGGTGAGTGCAGATCAGAGACGCAGCTCGCAGATCGAGTTTAAAGATGAGGTGTGATTCAAACTGTTTCTCTGTTGCAGACATGTACTGGGTTGACCCCAACCAGGGCTCCCCTCTGGATGCCATCAAGGTCCACTGCAACATGGAGACTGGCGAGACCTGCGTCTACCCCAGCCAGACCAGCGTCCCCATGAAGAACTGGTACCTCAGCAAGAACATGAGAGAGAAGAAGCACGTCTGGTTCAGCGAGTCCATGACCGGTGGATTCCAGGTAGGAAGTCCAATGCGTTAAAATTCATCCTTATGAACTTGTAGCACACAGAATACGCACTATTAAGGTGATGACCGTAACACCCACACACCCTTCTCCTCCCTCCGCAACGCAGTTCCAGTATGGCACCGATGGAGCTGATCCCGAGGATGTCAGCATCCAGATGGCCTTCATGCGCCTGATGTCCAACCAGGCCTCTCAGAATGTCACATACCACTGCAAGAACAGCATCGCCTACATGGACTCCACCACCGGCAACCTGAAGAAGGCCCTGCTGCTCGGTGGATCCAACGACGTCGAGATCAGAGCCGAGGGCAACAGCCGCTTCACATACAGCGTCAGCGAGGATGGCTGCACGGTGAGTCCCAGAGAAAAATATGTCAAATATGTCCATCCTTTAGAGAGGCAAGATTTTGATTTTGGTGGGGACACAGGAGCCCTTCAATATTTAGAACATGTGCACTTGTCCACTACAATAAAAACATTAAGTAGCAGAGAGAGAGACTTTTATGTTGATAAAAGGACATTTACACCATAAATTGATGCAGAAAAATTCACCAGAATGCAGGAAATTAAGCGTTCGTGTATTCATATGCACCACCCAAATGTTCAAATGAAACCTCCGCCCCTGTGCGCAGGTGAACGCCTCACCTTCTTGAGCAGTTTCTGACCTTTTCTCCTTTCTGTTCCCCTCCGCAGACACACACTGGCTCATGGGGCAAGACAGTCATCGACTACAAGACATCAAAAACATCCCGCCTGCCCATCATTGACATTGCTCCTATGGATGTTGGTGCACCTGATCAGGAATTTGGCGTCGAAGTTGGCCCCGTTTGCTTCTTGTAAAAAAGAAAGAAATATGGACATGACATTGTTGTTTTTTTTCTAGCAGTCATCTCTAAATCCTTTTTTTCTATGCATTCAAAACTCATTCGGCTGCCATTGGTCCACATGCTTAAAACCACTCTACTGAAGACGATGTTTGTGTTTTTCCAATCATGAGAAGTTTTGGGACTGCTACTTCAACCACAAGGACACTTTAAAAAGAATCTTTTGTTTCCACTGGCAACAAGAAAATAATATATACTTGTGTAAAATTTCCCCCTGGAGATTGAGAAAGAAAAAAAGAGAAACACACACGAAATGAGACACAGGTGACTTTTGCCATTTTCTACCACTGCGGAAGGACATTGAAAACAACAAGTGATGTGTACCATTTTTCTGGTGTTAAATAAATTGTAAAAAGTGTGAAGTGTCTTCTTGTTCTAAATTCTTGAAAGAAAAAACAAAAACACCTGCTCAGACAAAGCAAAGACCAACAAAACAGCAAAAAACAAAGAAGCTCACCTTCATATGTAGATGGCTACCTCAAAACAAGAAGTCACCCCAGTTTTTTTTCTTAAATGAAAAGGGTATATTTTACACGAGTCTATTGTGGGGAAATCAAAACCATTCAAAGGTGCTATTAACATTTCGATGAGGTCCAGCTATTGGTGTTTGATGGTGACACTCTCACTGTCATACTGTAACTATTGCCACTAATGCCTGCAGAACCTTTGGTGCTACTAAATTGACTCATTGTCTTGTTGTCTACGCAGTGCAATTGTTTTCTTCTTAAGTGTTCTGAAAAGGTGATCACTGCAGATGTAATGCATGCAATCATGTCTTTGTAGATAAAAACAAAAAGCAAGTGACTCTGGTTCAATATCATTTCCCTGCACATTTGTTCAGTGTTGATCCCTCTGTCTGTTTGCCCCCTGTGGAAAACTCCTCTTCACTAAAAAAGAAAAAACAGCACACATCTCCCACCCTGTTGTTTATGTTGTTTTTGTTGATGTCTTTCGCGAAGGGTTTCTTAAAAAAGAATTTGAAGCGGACCCACTTTCATGGTTTAAAAGAGAGATTCTGTACTTATTTTGTACATGTATAATAAATTGAGATGTTTTTAATTATTTTTGGGTGCTGAAATAAAGCATGTGAAGTGGTCTACTCAGTGGCGGAGTTTTCACTGTCCTGTTCTGCAACTGTTGTGAAACTGAAATCAGGTGTTAGGATGGAAATACGCTGATACACTGAAGCTGCATCGCACACTCTCGGAAGCCTCAGGAGAAGAAGAAAGGCACGTTAACATTGAAATAGAGTTCAAGAGATGAGGGATCAACTGTTCCACAACAGTTGCACTGACACATTTCTATTAAGCAGCAGTGAAAACAAGGCCAACACCAAAGTACCCAACCTGGCTCTTTTCATCAATGCACAAAGAATTCCTCCTTTTTTAAATCAAATCTTTTGGAAATCCGAGTTAAAACCGACCGAAAATAAAATGTTAATCCGCCACACGTTCACTGCCATTTTGTTTTTATCTCCACCATTACTTAAAATAAGGACCTGGATTTGCATGAGAATAAAGTTGAGGGGTGAGAGATGTGTCAGAACCAAAGAACTCCCAAATCAGATAATGATACACCAGCGACCCCCTCTGGATCACTGGTGCAAAAACAGCTGCTCTAAAGGGAAGTTAAACACTGAGATGGAGAAACTACTTCACTGCTCTTCAGGTTTCACTTTGAGCTTCTGGCTTCCTTATGTATGTTAGAGATTCACACAGGTTTTGGCCAAGATTGTCCACAAAAAACCCAAAACAAGTAATCTTTCAGGACAGTGGTTCCCAACTGGTCCAGCCACAGGGTCCAGATTTCTCCTTAGTCATTAGTTCAAGGTCCACAAAATTTAATATATTCTGCGTCATACTTGTGTTTGGCCATGTCATCAAGCTAGTTTGCTGTCTCTGTCAAGTAGCTGTCTGTCTAAAACAGGAAACGGCACTTCGAAATAAAAGCCCTGTGCCAGAATTTCACTGCACTTCAAAATAAAGTTTGTTCTTTTTACAAACTTGACACATTCGCAAGTCACTTGTGGTCCATTCAGAGTGGACACACGACCCACTTTTGGACCGCAACCCACCAGTTGGGAGCCACTGTTCTAGGAGATAATCCCCCAATCCCAAATGGATCCCTTACAGACTTCTTGACTCAAGCCCTAAGCCCTTACCTTGGACCTTACCTAGGACCACTTCCATTTCTTCAGGTTAAGAGCTAACCTGACGGAGAATTGGGACACCACTTCCCCTCATGTGAATGCGCAAAACCAAGGGGAAGGGCCAAGACAAGGGCTAAGGGGAAGAAATGGAATTAGTCCTGGGTCTGTAAGGGCTTAGGACTTGAGTCAACATCTCCTACACAGAAGTTGAACTCAGGTTTTGGCCAAGATTGCAAATATTTAGTTTCACCTTACCTCTCAGGGCTTCTGTACTTCCATCCAGTAGTAAAAGCAGAAGATGTAAAAGATGTCGCCTTCTAAGAAAAGACTGAAACATCTTTTTTTTAAACAGAACATGATGTAAAGATGACCCATTAAAGCCATGAAACGTCCACTCATGAGCCTTTGCTGGACTGAATGGTTCAACCTACCAGGCCTGAAGAGGTGACAGTATCTAGAGCTCCACAAAAGGACAGCAAAAATGGGAAAAAAAGATATTTAAATACTTTTTCCCCCTTATCTTGAGGTTTTCATTCCCTTAAAGAAACAGTTTATCCCACATATCAAAAATAGATATTCTTCCTCTTACCTGTAGTGCCATTTATCAGTCAAGATTGTTTTAGTGCGAGCTGAGTGTTGGAGATATCGGCTGTAGAGATGTCAGACTTCTCTCCAGTATAATGGAACTAGATGGCGCTCAGCTTGTGGTGCTCAAAGCACCAAACAAATACATTTGGAAAACTCAGCAGCAATGTCTCTTTGCAGAAATCATGACCTGGTTACTCAAGATAATCCACAGACCTTGTTGTGAGAAGTTTCATGTAGGAACTATTTTCTTTCTACTAAACTACACCTACCAACCATATCACCAAGCAGAAGGAAGTGTGCATCTACTGCTAGCTCACCTAGCACTGCTGAGCTAGCCAACATTACAGCTAGCTGAGAAGTAGGACACCATTAATGTTTACATCTCGCACTGTCATGAGCATGAGCCTCATAGGAACCTCATATCCTAGTATGTGCTTAAGCTCTTTACGTACCATTTCCCAAAATACAGTTGTTTTTTTCTGACATTTCCAAAAACCATGAGAGTGGTTTACATCAATCAGATTCTTCCATGAGAATTCCCTCCAGCTTCGCAAATTAGTGGTTGAATGGTGTATCTTCCACATATTATGCTAATCCTCGTCTAAAATTTCTACATTGAGTTCTTTTCCAGTCTGTTTTAAAACAATACTCAGATGCCTTTATGAGCGTTTTTTCTTTTGTGAAACTATCCTTTAAACCGAGAGATGGACTACACGTCGTACCTGCTTCGAGAAATCTTTGCTCAGGGACACAACGATGAAGAACGTGACTTTTAATTTTTTTTTTTATTAGTAGTGAAAGGCGGTAGACTACAGAAAACCATAAACCAAAAGGAACAATTTGACAAATTAAACACTCTTTAAAGTTATTTTAAAGTGGAAACAGACAACTTTTTTTAACTTCTTCCCCATCGCATTTCCAAGTGGTACTACTGTTGGCGCCGCTGTCATAGACAACCAGATAGCTTTCCATTTTCATCAGAGCCTAAAAACTACCAACACAAGACGCACTGCATGACTGTCCATCCTGGAAGAGCGATCCCTCCTCAGTTGCTCTTCCTGAGTTCCTGAGGTTTCTACCATTTTATTTTTTTTTAACCCATTAAAGTTTTTCCCCCCTTATCTGCTGTAAGGATCCAAAGGACAGAGGGATGTTGTAAGCTGTAAAGCCCTCTGAGGCAAATTGTGATTTGTGATATTGGGCTTTATAAATAAATGTGTGTAGAACTTGCATTGATACCCCTTGGTAACTGGGGATAGCTGCCGATAGCTACCGGATAAAACAAAAGCTCTATCTTTTCCTATTTTGGTTGCACAATAGATGACGCACTTCTTTTGTGTAGTAAATTGAGCCTTAATTTTCCCAGGTGGCAAACAGAATTGCATAGTGAAAGCGAGACTTATAGGGAACCAGTCTAAACGCTGATGATGTCATTGTTCTACAGAGCTTTCATGTGCGGTCAACATTTACTTCATAACGACAAGTTAAAGCAAAAAAACTTGTCTGTTTCCACTTCCATGGCACCTAAAGAAGAAACACACACAGATTGCCACTGCAAATACAGAACCATCGACTGTATGAAAGACACTCGGTGTGTCAAAGACACTTTATCCATCGCTGTTCTCATTTCCTGCAAAAACAAACAACACGATGAGTCTGTGTTCTTTGAATCATCTTTAACAATCCAAGAAAAAACACAGAGGCCTAAATGTGGAGCAGAATGAATACAGAGCTGTGGGAGGAAGTCCCATGAGTGGGTTTACCTGGGCAGTGTGTCGCTGTAAGGATCACTACGAAAACAGGAGAGTAAAAATGAATTAGTCAAGACAAGTGAGTCATCAATTACAGTTACATAACTTATAAAAATAGAAGCAGGATGCTGGTGATGATAATAACAGTAGGTGTGTGAATGACTGTTAAGAGTCAGTGGGCGGGGTCCTTACTGCTGGGCCATGATGAGGGGGATGCTGGGGCTGTCGGACTGCAGCGGTGGAGCTCTGTCCCCGGTCCGGCTGTTGAACATGGGCAGCGTGGACAGCGGTGGAGGAGTGCTGCGGTTGCCAGCCATGTTCCTCAGCTCGTCGGTGTTCCCATGAATGGTGTGGTGGTGGTACAGCTGAATTCTGCAGGAAACAACACGTCACAGGGGATTAATACAAGAACACTGGTAACAGAGTCAATCAGAGAGCAGTGGACAAGTCAGTGTACTTACTGGTTTGTTCTCGCGTTCCTTTTTTCGCTATGGAAAAAAAAAAGAAAAATGTCTCGGTTTAACAGGATCAATCAATAACCAAAATGTGTTTTGAGTATTTACATAAAGGGTCAGTTCACCCACATAACAGAAATGTGTACCGTAAAACTTCAACTAGTAGCCCGGGCTATTATTTGCTTAAATTACTCAACTCAACAGGTCTATATTTGGGACAGGCCTTTAATTCCTTTCACGCAAAACTGTTGCTCAACAATTATCTGGAAATATGATTAAATTGTTTATTTAAACCAGTATAAACATTACTTATATAAAAATTAGACTTCGAATGACATGTGTGGTCACATTTTCTGAATTTATGACAGCTACAGAAGGTGGAAGTCACCACTTGAGCCGAGCTAACAATGTGTAGCATCTCCATATTGACAAAAATTAAACACAAATACCTGTATATGCGATTTAAACAGCTAACGGAAATTAGCTAACAATCTGGTTTTATACATTAAGTTAACTTCTATACAACAGAACTGCTTGGCGACCAGATCAGGCCTCTAATTGAGACAGGCTTTTATTTGTCAAAATGTGGAGCTACACCGGGCTAGTAAAAGAGACTGGGTGTTTAATAGAAGTTTTACGGTATATTACCTATTAGCTCCTGTGGACTCCATTGCATTGGTATTTCATAAACTATCACAAGGGTTAAGTGAGGAAAAATAGTGTATAATTTGGCGAACTGACCCTTTACCACAACGACACTGTAGATCAAATTTTAGTTTAGTAGATTTTAAATAGATGCTTACACTCCCTCCCGTCTGCCGAACATGATGTAGGCCAGCAGGATACACAGGATGATGGCGATGATCAAGGGCACGATCACTGTCACGATGTAGTCGGGTAAAAAGTCTCTGCTCGGGGGAGACTCAGGAGGGTCGAACTCGCCTCCTTCTGCCAGGATCCCAGAGCCCATCGTGGGAGGAGGTGGAGGTGGCGTCAGCTGTGTCAGATCAAACTGAAGAGAAACACAAACATAAACAAAATATCTTTTGGTTTTGGATTGTTGGTCAGACCAAACAACACTTTTATATGATTTTAACTTCTGCTCTGGGATATTGGAATAAGCATTTTTTTTAACAAAAAAAATCTTAAAAGATTGAGTCCCCCCCCTCCCATTCCTAGTAGTGGTATATCCCACACTCTTTCCAACGGCCGGGGCTACTTGGCAGCAGTAGCAGCGTGTGGCTGGACCCGGCTGCCCACATCGCGCATCGCAGGGTAAGATGTACACTCACACAGACACAGTTTAACTTACACAAGTTACAACACATCCCATTTACTGTTACAACAAGCCCCAGGCCTAGGCTGATAATATAAACTGTCTGCAACATTTCTCCTGCATTGTTCAAAAGCCTACTCAATTACAAGTGCTGCTAAGCTAAAAGCTAATGATTAAGCTCAGAGTTTAGTGATAGTCAGAGAGGACAGGAGAGAAAGAAGATGGAGAGGACAGAACAAGAGCAGTCAGTGTCGGAGCGGCTCGTAGCTAATGGGTACCTGTCTGTAGGCTCTCCACCTATCAGTGAGACAAACATGAAAGACGTGCAGTCTAACGGACGAGGAGCGGTCATTACACGCGACTATTACGCACGGTTGTGACGGAGCGTAGCTAATGGGTACCTGTCTGTAGGCTCTCCACCTGACAGTGAGAAATTGCGGTAAAAGATGCTGTATAAAAGACAGGCTACAACTTTTTTTCCTTGTCCCCCCCTGGAATTATTCTCTAAAATTTTACTGTTTATTGCCCCCCCCCCCAACAATGAAATGGGATTTTCGCCCCTGCCGTCAACACTGGCCCATTATCAAACAATGACCTGGCCCAGCATCGGCCTAAACCTGGTAGCCCATACGAAATGTTGGGTCACGTCCGGTTGCCCGACTCATTTAAGAATCGGGATGAATCACAACCCAGAATTGATCCAAATAAGCTGGCCCAGTTCTGGCTGCCAACACTGCCAGCACTGACTCATTATAAAAAAATGACCTGGTCCAGCATTGACCCAAACGTGGCATGCCATAGGAAATGTTGGGCCGTATCTGGTTACCAGATTATGGTGAGAGCAAATTAGGTGGCCAATTCTGGCCTCATCACTGGGGCAGCACAGAACTATAGTTTTTTTTTTTCTCTCTTTGACTTTTCTCTATTATTCGCTTTTCTTTTCTTGTAAAATACTGGAAAACTTTATATAAAATACATGAGAAATGTTATAAAAATATCCAAAATATTAAAATGTAACAAATCTTTATTTGCTGACTTTAAACATTTCCTGGGGTCACAGGTAGACACTGCCTCGTGTAAAGGGGTCAAAAGGAAAAAAGTTTGTAAAACAATCATCACTGAAATGTCAAAAAATAGCAAAAAATCAAAGTTGACATCTTTGAACTGCTTGTTTTTCTCTAATAAACTGTAAAAAAAAGTATTATATTTACAATTATGACAAAATGAAGACAATCAAAATGACAAATTATCAGCTTAAATGATTGATTATTAAAATAGATGGTAAAAAAAGGTGACATTTCCTTCTTAGATGGTCTAATGTGATGGGTTTTTAGGGGCCTTAAGAGGTGAAAGTATCTAGTATTTCACAAAAGACAAGCAAAAATATGAAAAAAGAAATTTAAACACTCTTGAAAAATCTCCTTAATCATTTTGTGACTGCCTCGAAAAATCAGAAATATTTCAATGTTCCAGCACTGACCCCACATCTCTCATGACTAAAGAGAATGACTTTTGCATAAACATAACTAACTGTAACTCCCTACACAAACAGTGCTCCTTCAGATTTATTATATAATTTCATACATAAATGACTCGTGTTTGTATTTCCAGGCCTCACCAGCTCCGTCTTGCACCAGGTGATACAGTTGCTGGGAATGCTGCAGAAGTTGCACCCTCCAGGGACCTTGACTTTGGCCCCAGTTTTGCACTGCCTCTCATGCTCCGGTGTTGTCGCACTCAGGAGACAATCTGAGAAATACTGCTCCGACCCCACCTTCACATACACACTGACACAAATCAGACTCTCGTGAACACAAAGTTACTTCAGAGCTAAAACTGACACCATTTCACGTCTCTCTGTTTACCCTTCAAAGTGTCCCGCAAGAGGGAGGGGGACCCTGCCGCCGCGGTCGAGGGCGTTGGTGATATTGACTATTTCCAGTGCCTCTGTGTCCCACAGCTTCTGTAAGTCCTGCTTTATCTCATCCTGAACAGAAGAGGGCAGCACCTTCTCAATCTCCCTCAGCTCGATGAAGAACTCAGCCTGATAGGGCAGCATCTCCTCTGTGAGTCACAGCAGTCATACATGTTAATATTTCTTCAGTCGTTACTGCACTCTTTAATTTCACTGTGATATGTCTTAAATCACCTGCAGTGATTTTGATGACGAGAATCTGTCGGGCTGCTTCATAGGTCCGCTTGTTGATGGCGTAAATCTGTCAGCAAAATGATGAGACTTTGTTACCATCACAGTTATCAGTTTTCATATTATTCACTGTGTATTTGAGATGGTCAGAGCAGCTTCTGCTGAGGAACACTTGAATTTCTCACCAATCTGCCTCGTCTACTCCTGCGTTAGTTATTCATTTCCTGCATTTCCCAGAGTGCACAGATGCAAGGAGCATGTTTTATTTACAGCAACAAAACCTTATTTATATATCATGTCAAGACAAGCTGAGAAAACCTGCTGATCTCAGTTTATGTCTGTTAACCATAAAACACTTTTAAAACTTTGAATTATTAATACTTTCAGGGATTTACAAGCATGCAGAAATATTTAGTGGAAGAGGCACAATGTACGTGTAAATTTCTGGTTTAATTTCTTACATTTTCTGCTCTATTTGTGTGTATAAAACATAAAACTATCATTTTAACAACTCAGAACTGTTTTGAGGGATTTTAACTCAAGATTGTACATTTTAAAGGTCCCTATATCATTTTCATGTGTTTTTAGTTTGCTTTATATTTCATAAACAGAAATATTGAGATGACTTAAAGTTGTTTGTACTGGACAAAAAAGGATGTCATGCATTTACGGTGAGAACAATTTAAATGTCCAGTGTGTAGGATTCAGTGACATCTAACAGTGAGGTAGCAAAAACTGAAACTTCTCTGACATAGCCGGTGCAAAAATGCGAAAGTGTGAAAATCTGAATGGCCCTATCTAGAGCCAGTGTTTCATTTGTTCATTCTGGACTACTAGAAACAAGATGGTGGATGTGCCCTGAGTGTAGATATAAATGGCTCATTCTAAGGTAACAACAAAGATTCTTTTTCAGGTGATGATGAACTAATGAAAACATAATTATAGATATTACAGTCCATTTCAGCCAGATACCCCAAATCCTACACACCGAGCAATAATGACTCGGGATCAGAACCCGATTTATGGCTCTGATTTATAGCTCTCGACCAGGGGTAGGCAGCCTGTGGCTCTGGAGCTCTAAAGCCTCTCTCCAGTGTCTCCCTGTGGCTTTGACAAAAACGGAATAACAGTTGTTTTTTTTTTTTTGTTTAATTTTAAAGAAATTCTGATATTCTCTAATTGTAAAAAAATGAAGTCTATATACTGAATAAAATAATGGTTTCACATTTTAACAACTAAAACTGGCGCCTCTTCCTCAAAATTCTGCCGAACCTCGACAGCAGTGGCTCGTCTTGAGTCTTCCTAGCTGGTCAGCTATGGATGCCAGATCCATAATAGTAAAAGTCTCTGAATAAAATAGAGAATGTAGAGGTGCGTGGACAGATTTGTTTGCTTTCACTGTCAGCTCTGCAACATTAAAGTACCAAATAATCATCAATCAAATATGTTTTGCTGCTCCACACAGATTCATTTTAAAATTATTTTGGTAAAAAATGGCTCTTTTGATAGTAAAGGTTGCCGACCTCTGAACGAGACCATAAAGCACCTTCTCAAATAGATTTTTAAAACTTTAACTTATTAATATTTGTAGTAATTTACAAGCATACATGGACATTTAATGTAACAGGGACAATGTACACATGAACATTTTCATTTTCAGACATTTTCATGTTGTATTTGTTTGTAAGAATAGTGAAACTAAATTTTTATCCACCTAGACGTATTCTGTAAGAATGTTTTGAGTGATTACGACAGAGATTTTGTAAATGCTTATAGGCACCTGGGTCATTTTTCATGTATATTTGGTTTGCTTTATACTTTATAAATCAAGCCTGTAGCCATGGAGCGAGCAATGGAATACCTTTCCTGTTATATTATATGATTTATCATAAGCAAGTGCAACTATACAGTATACTACATAAATATGCCATAAATGAAAGCTATTTCTGTCTGTATAACTTGTACCTACAGCACAACATAACTGACACTGACACTTTACAAAGGCTTTATATGGGCTGTCTGACAAATGTAATGTTATAAAGACATTAACGTTAGTTGAATACACCTTTGAGCGGTGGTCTGCTGGGGTACAGCAACACCACATGGGTGTACCAAAAGCAGAACTGCAGTACATGATATTACAAGAACGGTAGTGATAATAATGAATTTGTTAATATTATTTATGATTACATTTGCGAATGATCATTTTGGACAGTGATGTGTGGTTGCCTGTTTTAGAATAGCATTTTTTAAAATGTATATATGTTTTTTAAATCAGTATTATAGCATATTATGATATTGGGGGGGTGTGCCCTTGTAATGAATAGATAAAATGATAAGACTTGTAGCTGTTTGTGCTGGAAAAAAGGATACCATGTAGTATGTGGGGTAAGAACAATTTTAAAAAATTGAGAAAGTGTTGAACAAAGAAACAAATGCATAGAAAGCGAAAATTAATCACAGTCAACCTGGACTCCGAAGGCCTGTAATATGTAAATTTAAGCAGTGTTTTTGGAGTGTGATCTGTGGCTACATCCCAAAGTGTAACATGTTTTTCAGCTATAATATATTCTGTTTCGCTGAGATAAAAGTGCCACTTCAGAAATGTGTTATCTCTTCTTCTTCTTCAAAGACACCTTTCTTCCTCCTGGTTCAAAACGACGGCTCCGGAGAAAAACCCAAAGCTTTTGTCTCTGAGGGACTGACAGCAAAACCTGACATTTACCACCTGATGTGTCAGATAGCTGCACGTTTTTCACATTTGTCTCCCCTGGAATATTTTCTATGTTTGGCCCATTGTCTACAGGAACAGAAGAATCTAAGAGTATATGCAGCAAAATAAGGCCAGAAATGCCAAGCGCTGCATACTAACAGTTTTTAACCATGACCTCATACCTCAATTATACTTTTTCCAGGAGACACTGGCGTGCCGTAGAGGAAGCCATTATCGTAGGGGTGTCTTTGGGTGAAGCGCAGCCACTCTGGGAGGTCTGGGAAATTCTGGCGGTTGCACTTAAAAATCATGGGGTCATCGTACAAGCGGCCAGCTTTATAACATACAAAAATAACAGTCTGGGGTTAGACACATGCAATTAGAAAATCTATATCTTGTAATTTTGTTTAGTGATGACAAAAGAGTGCGTTAAAATGATTCATACCGTAGAGCTTTGACAACGGTTCAAAGTCATTCTGGAAAGTCTCCCTCAGCAGCTCATATGTAAATAACTTCCCCACAGGAATGGTCACTTTGATCTCTGCATTGGCCCCAAACAAACTGGCAGCACAAACTGTGTGGAAGTGTTAAAAAAACATCAAATGATGAACCTGAACTGGCAAACAGAACCTTAAATGTAACATTAACATATGACAACACACAACCCCTGATGTTGTAGTGAAGTCCTAAAATCCTTGACAGCTGAAGCAAAGACCAAATGTTCACACTAAATAACAACATACTAAAGAACAACAAGGATTCCAGTGTTGTTATTTTCCACTAAGTTAAATAATTTCAGGAATAAACTTGCCTGTTAAAAAGAAGACCCAGCTCCTGCAGCCTGCCATCTTGTTTTGGCCTGTGATTGACAGGGCCAAGCGGAGCGGGGCTTGGTCACAGTGAAAGACATGTCAGAGCTATTTTTGCCTCGCTCACCTCATAACATCCGGAGGGCAGTCTGTGAATGTGACTGGAGAGTAAATAAAGAGCTGTATTATTTCCTCTGATGATATTAAATCATAAAGTTAGTTGGGCAGGAATCCTCCATGCTTGAGGCAAATAAGCACTTAAGCACATAAAGTTGGGGTGGGCAGAAATCTGGAAAAGGCAAAGAAAAAAAAACCCAGCAGATTTGACAATACACCCTCCTCTTGCAGCTCTCCCCTTTCTGTCCTAAGCTCCTTCTACCGGATGACCGTGGACACATGCAGGCATTTCATACAGCAACCCAGTGTTTCCTGCACACTGATTCATTCATTAGCAGCTTATTCACTCATCGCCTCGTTACCCATCTCTCTTTGTCTTAGCTCATCAGACCACGAATGAGACAAGAATTAGCTAGCTAGCCACCCACCATCCCTCCTTCCCCCCGCTGTGGACTGCTTCGCCAGGAGCAAGGCGGGTAGCAGCTTGGGAGAAGAACCTTCAATCAGTGGCTGTAGTGGCTGGAAACGCAGCACCAGGTTGCTAAAAACACTGATGGCACAAACAGTGCTGGAAAAGCAGCAACAGGCTGTTAAAAGACATCTATGTCTGGTAGCATAAACGGCATTGAAAACTCAGCGCCAAGTCACTAAAAAATACCCACATTTGCTCGCACAACTGCTGCTGAAAACACAGCAGTGGGTTGCTAAAAAAAACACCTACGTTTGATGGCACAAACAGTGCTGGAAACACAGTGACAGGTCGCTTAAAAACAGCCATGACTGGTGGCACAAACAGCGCTGGGAAAGCAGTGACAAGTTGTTAAAAAACACCTATAATTGGTGGCACAAATGGCACTGGAAACACAGCCGTGGGTTGCTAAAAAACACCTACGTTGGATGGCACAAACAGCGCTGGGAAAGCAGTGACAGGTTGCTATAAAAACACCTACGTTTGGCGGCACACAGAGTGCTGGAAACACAGTGACAGGTCGCTTAAAAACAGCCATGACTGGTGGCACAAACAGTGCTGGGAAAGCAGTCAGGGGTTGCTAAAAAACATCTATATTTGGTGACAAAAATGGTACTGGAAACACAGCAGTGGGTTGCTAAAAAACACCTACGTTGGATGGCACAAACAGTGCTGGAAACACAGTGACAGGTCGCTTAAAAACAGCCATGACTGGTGGCACAAACAGCGCTGGGAAAGCAGTGACAGGTTGCTAAAAAACACCTATATTTGATGGGACAAACGGCACTGGAAATGCAGCAGTGGGTTGCTAAAAAACACCTACGGTTGGCGGCACATAGAGTGCTACAAACACAGTGACAGGTCTCTTAAAAACAGCCATGATTAGTGGCACAAACAGCACTGGGAAAGCAGTGACGGGTTGCTAAAAAACACCTATATTTGGTGGCAAAAACACAGCTGGAAACTCAGCACAAAGTCACTAAAAACACCTATGTTTGGTGGCACAAATGGCACTGGAAACAGTGACAGGTTGCTCAAAAACACCCAGGTTCGGTGGCACAAACAGCCCAAGAGATGCAGTGATAGATCGCTAAAAAAAAAAAACGTTTGGTGCCACAGATGCTGCTTGAAACTCAGCGCCAAGTCACTAAAAAACACCCACATTTGGTGGCACAAATGCTGTTGAGAAAACAGCAGTGGGTTGCTATAAAACACCTTAGTTTGGGAGCACAAACAGCACTGGAAACGTAGCAGTGGGCCACTAAAAAAAACACACATTTGGTGTCACAAACAGTGCTGGAAACTCAGTGACAGGTCGCTTGAAAAACACCTGTGTGTGGTGGCACAAACGGCATTAGAAACACAGCAGCGGGTCGCTAGAAACACCTAAGTTGGGTGTCACAAACAGTGCTGGAAACACAGTGACGTTTGGCGGCACAAATGGCACTGGAAAGGCAGCAAGGACTCGCCAAAAACAATCACTGTCATTGTTTGTTAGTCTTGAGCAGTGGCCATCCACCTCTCCACTTCTTGATGACAAAGTCATGCTATGTCACACATTGATATGATATGAAAATGTAACGTATCTGTATTTGCAGAAACTTACAATGCCAACATTTTATTCTGGAGACTGGGCTGAGAAACAAAGTTACCACAAAGTGTACTCAAGCACAGAGTAAACATTAGCAAGTTACAATGTAAGGTGTGATTTTACATATTGTGGAAATATTTTTACTCTTTATTTACTGAAAATAAATGACTGTTGTTGAGAGAAACTGTTTTTATTATTTATCAGTTTACTTTTTCATTCTCCGTCACTGACTCAAGGACATGCTCAGCACAGTTGCACAAATAACACACTTTCATACAAAAACTAGCTAGACGGCACTACTGCCTTTCTGAAAAGAGATGTACATCCTGTTCAGCACTAGAGTCTTTTCAGTCAATACTCCTCTTGTCATGTCCTCCAGACTAGACCTTCAGCTGCTGTGGGATAAAGTAGATAATATGATAAAGGGGAAAGTGGGGGACAGTTTTGAAAAATAAGTCTCTGGTGTTGTTCTTTCTCAGCTGCATGAATGTGTTGTGGCCTTGTAAATGCATCAGTCCCTGAACAAACATTTTGTAAAGAGAAATGCTGTGTCTACCCTCAGTGATAATGTTTAATGTATCTGTCGGCACAGATGCAGAATGCAGGAAGCAACAATGTGTCCTGCAAATAACGGATGTGTTACTGGCCGTGAAGGTTTGACGTGACTGAGGCTTTGCTGGGTCCTAATGCTCGTCACTCTCTGACAGCCACGTATTATTCCAGGTGTTCACAGACTTTAGGAGTACTGGAAAGTGTTCAACCGTGTTTCAAATATTTATGTCTATCTTTTTATGTGTGTGCAATATTAGGCTTGTGTAGGTGAGGAGGGGGCTGGGTGTTTGACATTATGCTTTTTGTCTGATGCACTGGGTGTCAAAACTCAAGTAACCCTTCATCAACACCTCCAGTTATGTTCCAACAGTGATCGTTTAATTTGGTTTGATATAATTTCATACAATTGAACTGTCAGTGTTAATGTTTGGTCATATTTGCATTACTACTAACCTTACCACTTGTAGTAGCAGAAGCTGAACATTTTAACCATGTCGCATGTCTAACTATTTTAACCATATGAATGACACACATTACTTTGACATGTTTTTACAATTTTTAGCTAACTAAATCAGCCATCTATCCAATAGTTTTAAATTTTTCATCACTTTTCCAATAGTTTCAACATTATTTAGGCTAACTAGCCTACTTTACCTGTTTATCCTTCATTATTTAGCTGTTTTAGCATTACCTTTAAGCTTTTTATCGTTTATCCATTCTACTCTGGCCAATTTCAACCATTATTCATTGTTTTTAGGTAGCTATCTATCCACAAATTTTAACTTTTATACAATTTATTAATATTTTTTTTAGCTGTTTCAACTATTTCCACTAGCTGGCTAACACTGTTACCTATTTCAGTTGCTTATCCATTACTGTTAGCTGTTCCAACCATTCCCACTACTTATAGGTGGCTAACACCAGTAGCAATTTCAACTGCTTATCCACTACTGTTTGAAGTTTTAACCATTTATCCACTAGTAATAGCTTGCTAACACTGTTAGCTATTTCAACTGCTTATCCATTACTGTTAGCTATATAGCTGGCTAACTCTGTTAGCTATTTCACCTGCTACCGTTAGCTGTTTCAACCATTTATCCACTACCTTTAACGTTACCATTTTCCCATTACTTTTATTTACTTCCAGTTGTTTTTACTGTCAGCTGTTTCAAGCATTTCCACTACTCATAGCTGGCTAACACTATTAGCTATTTCAACTGCTTATCCATTACTGCAAACTGTTTAAACCATTTCCACTCCTTACAGTTGGCTAACACTGTTAGCTGTTTCAACTGCTTATCCATTATGGCTAGCCGTTTTAACCATTTCCACTATGTATAACTGGCTAACACTGTTAGCTATTTCAACTGCTTATCCATTATGACTAGCCGTTTTAACCATTTCCACCATGTATAGGTGCTAACACTGTTAGCTATTTCAACTGCTTATCCATTAACAGTTACTGTTAGCTGTATAGCTGGCTAACTCTATTAGCTATATCAACTGCTACTGTTAGCTGTTTCAACCATTTATCCACTACCTTTACTCTTTTCACAATTTTCCCATTAATTTTAGCTACTTCCAATCATTTATCAACTACTTTTTTGCTTGTTCACCATTTATCCATTGGATCTACTTTTAGCCAACAGTTTCATGATCCGTAACATTTAGCTAGCTAACGTCATTTTAACTATGTGCCAGGTGGGCAACTCTACTGGAATGAATGTGTGCCGTCTTGGGGTCCAATCTAGTTATAATAATACATCTAGGCCTATGTATTTTAACCATTATCAATTTACATTAGCTTGGCTAAAGTAGCTAATGGTTTAGATTTTGCTGCTCACTTGCTTAATGTTTTCATCTGTCTTACATGTAATTACATCAATACGTGGATATATATTTTTAATCAAATCCTAATTATTATTTTGATATTGTGAATCTGTGTGTGTAGTCCTATGTCATCATGGCAGAATGTGGTCCTGGAGACACCTACTGGGAACTACCACAGAAATGATTTTGAATATTTTCCCAGGTGTTTATGTCTGTCTATCTGTCTGTGGGCAGATTTTTGTTACTGAAATTACGACGCAATCATCCAAGATACAGTCACGAAACTTTACAGATGTGTAGTTGAGATTAAAATGAAGGCCAGGTTCAAAGATGGGTGTGGTCCTTGCAAAGGGCAATAAGTAGAGGGGAAGGAAGTAGGGAAAGGGCCATTGGTCCCCCACTTTACGCCCCTGGCCAACATCACTTTGGTCGCTGATTCCTGTATGGCGGCTGGAGTGATCCCACCGCTAGATGATCTCTAGTTAAAGGTCGAGTGTGTAGGATTTAGGGGGATCTATTGGCAGACATTGAATATAATATGAGTATGTTTTCTTATAATCATCTGGAAATAAGAATTGTGTTCTCGTTA